CCCCAAAACCCCAAAACCCCAAAACCCCATAACTGTAAATTTATGTATGATCGTTAATTGATGAAATTAAATTAGTTCAAATAGTATTAGATGAACTATTAGATAATCTAGGGTAGATCAATGGAGCATAAATACAGCCATGATGACTAGTACTGAATTGAGCTCGACAATACTGAAGTACTCTCTCTATGCTTGAATAGATTTGGTCTGATCAGAATTGAAAATAAGATTCTCAATAATTATCTGAACCAAGTAAACAGAACTTAAGCATAAGAAATAGCAAGTAAGTTTGTTTATTATTTCATTGTTAAGAATTTGGGCTTAAATGTCCTCTTCATTCTCATAGTATCTATCAAACTCTAAAGCCTCAGTGATTTTAGTTTCTACTTGTCTATGGTTTTTAACTTTCAAAGTGTAAAGACAGAAAAGACTAAAGATAACAATCTCAACTGCTGACTATTTAAAAGTAGCCAGGAGACCAGCTATGATTTAGTTTGAAACAACGATTTCATACTCATAAAGTTACTTAGTAGTCTCGTTATTATCATTGAGCTTGAATAAGAGACCAACCAAGAGCAGCTTTGTGATGAATGAGTGATGGAAGTATGGGTTTATCTTTATCTCCATAGCCATTAATGTGATAACTATTGTCAAAATTCCAATCAATTACAAGTAAAATCCAGGTCCGCTAATTAAGATGACGAGTGGCAAGATGTTTAAAAAGCTGATTAAGAAGATTTCAAACTTAATCTGCTTGTGTAGGTAGAATTTACTGTAACTGATGTCATCTGTCATGTCTTTTCTCAACTCTTTTTCATTTATCAAACTGTTGTAAGTGCCTGATAGATACTTAAAGACAGATTCATAGGTAATGAAGATGAAGACTGCAATAATTATTCCAAAGAATGAGAACTGATAAAAGCTGAACAAGAATGACTTGAAAAGTCTGCTTTGCTCTCCAGCCCATAGTCTAGGGATTAAGATATAGCTAAGAATACTTTTTCCTCTCAAGAGATTAATGAAAATTGTATTGTCAACAAGGAACATGATTTTATCGCTGGAGTAAATAAATTGCTCTACCATAATGAATATAGCAGTTGGAATGTAAACTCTGAGCAAGTTAGATTCACTTAATTCTTAAATTGAATTAGAAGAAATAAATGACTCCAAAATATTGTTGTTTACACTGTATCCTGCCACTATTGAGATAATGCTTAAGATAAAGAACTTTAGGCTAAGCTGAGATACACCTCTTAGCTTTCTAAGCGATTAGGCTATTATCAGTGATACAATTAGAAGGGTTATAGCCTACTTTAAATCAGAGTCAAAAGATAGGATAACGTTCCAAATGTTGATAATTATGAGTATTTGGATATCAATGTAGTCTAGTTGCTTAATGTTGTTGATTTCAATCTTCCCTTTAAAGATTTAGTACAAAGCAAAAGCAGCTGCAATAACAGCTAAGATCATTAATACAATCAAGTATAGATTAAACTCAATTGAGAAAACAAATATTGCCAGAGCGAATACTACTACTATTCCTAATATCTGGTAAGAAGCTGAGGTATTTCTCTCATTGTAATTTTCAACGATAAAAAGGACGGACTTGAGTAATAGAAGGATCATAATGATAGAGGCAAGCACTTAGATTACAATGTAGGTGTAGATGTAGGACTTGTTATGCATATTATGATTAATTGTGATTACATCATAGAGTTCATTGAGCAAATCTTTGCAGAGAGTTGAAAATGCTTCATAGTTTTAAGGATCCTATGGTTGTCTATTTCTAACTGCATCATTCATGTGGAGATCAAAGAATTCTACTATAATCTTGTACTTAGTGACGATCTACTATTAGTACTTGAGCATGTTTGCATCAGATAGATAGCTCTTAGCAATAATCTGATGATACATTCTTTGGAGGTTGAAGATGTTATTAATTTGATTGTAAGATATCAGATTTTTGTCAAGTTAGTGTTTAAGATACTGATAGCTAGTCAAGCCCATGTTGTTTTAGTTGATTCCCACACCAATTAAAGCATGCAAGACTGCGTTGATATCCTCAAGCATGATCTCTGAGGTAAAGGCATTGTCGACTTTGAAGCTTTAGAATAGTTTGAATTTATCCTTGGATTGATATTGCAGCATGACATACTTTTCTTTCTGTTCTTGGAACTACTTGTAGAGAGTTAAGGTGGCCTTGTAGTCACGAACGCCGCGCAAATCGAAAATGATTAAACCTTTCAAGTCTTTGTTTTCTAGGGCTTCAGCGCAGGTGTTGAGAAGACTCAGGTCTCTTGACTTGACGAATTGCTTTTTATAGATCAAATCTATGAAAGACTTCTCCCAGTTGTCTGAGTTCTTGCCAATTAATGTCGTGTGAGACTCGTTTCTATGTACTTGATAAAAGATGCTATCTTGGCTGAAAGACTTATCAAATAGGATATCTTGGAAGATGTTAACGTTGTTCTTTTGACTCTGGTGGGAACCAGTAAAGATCACATTCAAGTAGTGCTTTTGGTTCTCAATGGGTATTCTGCTTTTGATAAGTATCTGCTAATCTTGCTCGTTGTCATTTTAGAAATTATCTGGTAAGAGGACAAAGAACTGTCTCTGAGGATAGTTATATTTCAACTAGCCAATGCCCTTTTAGAAACTCCAATTTTCTTGCAATAAATCCTAGAAGGCTGGTGTGATGTTTCTATTGTTGAGGGGAACCTTAAGAGAGTTCATATATTCGAAGAGATAGAGCTGACCTATGATACTGATAAAGATCATAGATATCAGTACGACGATCTAGAGTTTAGACGGCATTTTCTATTTCAAATTAAATATTTAATAATAATATGTTTAAATCTCACTTATATTCATAATAAGTATCATAAGGGGTTTTGGGGTTTTGGGGTTTTGGGGTTTTGGGG